TACTGTCACATGTTTGAGTCTTAGATTTGGTTGAGGCTTTGAATAGAACAGAGACAAGTTGTTATGATACATTTAGGACTAAATAACAGTCGATTTTTCTGTTTTTTGGAGCCTCGAGTTGGACAAAATGAGCCGGAAATACATTACCTGTCCCAGCCACTGTCACATGTTGGATGAGTGGACAAGTTATGATAAATTTAAGACTAAATGACAATAGATTTTTCTGTTTTTTGGAGCTTTAACATTAGAAACAACTCAAAACGCCTTCATACAGAAACATAAAGACGCTTTACTAGTTTTGGTGCTTCAGTTTAGTTTTTTTTCTCTAAAGATTTCTGGTTGGAAAACAGAACCAAACCAGTTTGGGGTCGGTTTTAACCTCCAAACATTTGGCTTCCTCCCCATAAAACCCTTTTAGATAAGCCAAGCTTTCAAATTCAAACTCAAACATAGATGGGATTCTGATAGAAGACATCATTTCCAAATATATTCAGGGGTTTTGTATAGCTAGCAGCCATTTTTAGATCCTTAATGTTTGGGAAAAGGTTGATGAATCTTTTTTTATCTGTGAGGAAAAACCTCCCAACCCAGAATACCCTAAAAAAATAAGTCCCTTAAGGGCACATTGAACCTGGAGGTTCAGTCTCTAAGGCGCTGACCACCATGTTGTGGATGGTTTAAAATCTAACAGGATTCATTAAGGCGTTTCCTCCCAGGTGGGTCAGCGTAGGCCCCGCCCCCTTTGCTCCCTCAGGTAATGACTTAATTGGATCAGAGGCGAGGCCCGAGCTAAATCCGAACGTCCATCTGCTCCAGCTACTCGCCTCCCTCTCTCAGCGGGGCGGCCGGATTACAACTACGCTCTAAAAATGCAATCCCACAAGTGTTTAGAGTCAAAACTCACTCTGCTTTATTTATGGGCAGAAATATGGAAGCCAAAAAGTCACTCAAAAAAAGTTAATATGCCAAAAAAAGAAAGAAAATGCTGATGAAATGCACCATAACTTTAGATTTCTGCTCCAATTTTTAAATCTATAATGATGCTTTTTTGTGTTTTAAAAAGCCATTTTATTTTCTTTGTCCCACACTTTAGCATTTAAGTGACTTATTTAAGCATTTGTTTAATTAATTTCGATCTTTATCTGTATTTTCCCATTAAAACTCTGTCCAACTCATTTATTAATTTGTTAGCTTTCTCTCTTCTTCACAGATGTCTTTTTGTACGGTTTTCTTGAACATTTCCTTAACCCTTTAAAGCTTGATCCAAGAATAAAACAAAACAGAAAATTACTTTTTTTTGGTTTTAATTCTTTATTTGGCCTTTTAACAAAATATGTAAAAAGAAAAAAATACAA